ATATCCAACAATATTTTTATTCTTTCTCTGTGCCTGATTGTGATTTTGAAAAGGTCTACATTTATTAATAAAAAATATTTTTCTATTAGAACTTCAAGGCCTTTCTCATTATCTTAATAATAGAAGCTTCTGGGAGTCTGATGTTCTGTCTGTTGTCAGTTAGTTTCATTTTGGTTTCCCTCACTAGAATATTTTATGTTATTTCTTTAACCCTTGAGGTTCTGAAATTTTGAAAATGATTTATTTAGGAATGAGTCTTTATTAATTTTGATAAATATCTGACAATACCTTTCTATATAAAGAATTACGTCCTTTATATTTGGAAAATTTTCCCTTTTTATTTGTTTTGATCATTCTCTCCCTTCATCTTCCCTATTAGTCTCTGTAGCTCTGTTACCTGAGGTTGGACTTCCTCAATCTGTTCTCTGTTTTATCTTTTCTACCATATATTACATTTGCCTTTTTAAATTTCAGAGAGATTTTATTGATTTAATTTTCCAACCTTTCTATTAAATTTTCCAATTGTTTATAGCATTCTATTATTACTTTTACAGATTAAGAATTCTAATTAGAACGACTTAAACTTGTTTGCTGTCACATGAACTTTCTCTATTAAATCTGTGATAATTTTCATGTTATTTTATTCTCAATTCTCATCTTCTCTTTCATGTTGTAAGAGTTTCCCAAACATTTGCTCTACCCGCCTCCACCTTGTCCTTTACATGCTGTATACCATCTCATTTCATCTCAAGACACATTTATTCAAGCCACGTCTAACCTCCCCCAAATTATGCCTGGTTCCTGTGCAACACTCTCTCACTTTACCTCATTCTCTTTTCCTTTATAAATTATTCAGAGTTTGTAATTATATGGTTGTGGAATTATGTAATACATCTATATTTCTTCCCACTAGAGTGTAAGTCCTATCAAGACAATGAATGTATCTCTTTTCACATTATTTTAATGATACTCATATAACAAAGTGTGGTACTTATTGCTATAATGGAACTCAATGACTATTTTTGCATTTTTGATGAATTAATGAATATATAAACAAGTCTGGGGGCTTAGTACAGCCCATAATAAAGCAAAAAGTACTTTGCTTTTCTTTGCTATTATTAGTTCTTGCATACACATTCTTTAGAGTTGCATTTTTGAGAGGTTCCTATAGTCTTAGGCAGGATTTGGATACTCAGGGTTTCCTAACTGTGACAAAAACGACAAGAGCCTAAAAACTAATATAACTTTGAATAGAATGCTTCTCTGCCTATGTTTATGGGACTTTCCTGGAATGCATTTTTAAAAAACTTTGTATTACAGAAAACTTCAACTATGTACAGTAGTAGAGAGAAGAGTACCACGTTTTGACAGCCCAGCTTTAACAATGATCAATTCATGGGCAATTTTGTAAACCCACCCAATTAATCATACATGCACAGTGGGTTATTCAGAACATACTTTCAGATATCATACTTCATTCATAATTATTTTATTATGAAAATCTAAAGTATAATGACTTTTTAGAAACATAACAGCAATGCCTTTACCACACTAAAATTAGATATTTCCTTAACACTGTCAGTGTCAATTTTTCTGGTTACCTCATGTAAATTTGGTTCATATATTTCTTCAGCCTTTTAAAAATGTATAGCTTCTCTTCTCTTCTCTTCTCTTCTCTTCTCTTCTCTTCTTTTCTCCTCTCTCTGTCTTTCTCCCTCTCTCTCTCTCTCTGTCTTTGAATTATTGCTGAAGAAATGGAGTTGTTTATCTAGAAGTTCCCGTATTCTGGATCTTGTTGGCTGCATCCCTGTGGTATCATTCGCTGTGGGATTTGTTAGTTGGACTCCAGAAAATAACAATAACACCAACTGTTAACACCTGTTGACTACTTAACTATGTGCCAGTACAGACTGTAAGTAAAAAAAAAAAAAAAAGTTTAACTTTTCAAATCCCTAGTTTGTTTGTGGTAAGTACAAGCCTGAAATATCTCATGTGATTTTTAAAATTTTGTAAATTTTATTTGTTTGTTTATTTATTTATTTTTAGAGGTGGGCTCTTGCTCTGTTGCCTAGGCTGGAGTGAGCGCAGTGGCACAATCCTAGCCCACTGAAGCCTTGAATTGCTGGACTTGCTCCTCTCACCTCAGCTTCCAGAGTAGCTGGGATTATAGGCACGCCACCATGTGCTAATTCATTTTTATGTTGTAGAGATGGGGTCTTGCTTTGTTGCCCAGTCAGCTGTTGAACTCCTGGCTTCAAGCAATCCTCTCCCATTGGCCTCTAAAGTGTTAAGATCACAGGTATAAGCCTCTGTGACCCACTAATTTTGTAAATTTTAAATTGTGTGATATTAAATATTAATGAAGTCACACTTTATATATACAATCTGAAATAATTCAAATAACTCAAATAAGGTTTTAAGTATCGCATGATTTAAAATCATGCAGGTTGATCTGTAACCCTATTTATAGTAATGTGAATAATGACCCTTTTTTTAGCTGATAAAAATATTTACTCTTATTTTTTAGAATTAGTTTTGATTCTGCTATTTTAACATTACATGAATACTTTTTGAATACGTCCTTTTAACAAAATGCAACTATCATTTTATTAAAAGCTTTCCACAGTACTTCTTGAGGAAAGAGCCTGAGTTGGTCAGCATTTGTAGATTTCTGTATGACTCTGGTCATTTTGCCATTCAGTGTAACCCTTATACTACACACACACACACACACACACACAAACACACACACAAATGAACACAACTTGAAAATGCTGGGTTCTTGCCTCATAAATCATTGAAATGTATATGAAATTTATTTGAAATCCTATTGCTAAAAATTTCTTAGCACATTTGTGCTTTTTAATGTGACTATTTTTCACACTAAAAGTTTTATTTTATATATTTGGGATCATAATTGGTTAGCTTTTCTTCTCCTTTTAAAAAACAGACATTATTTTAAGGCAGTTGTAGGTTCACAGAAAAACTAAGCAAAAGGTACAGAGATACCCCAGAGGTCCCCAACCCACCGGCCATGGACCAGTACCAATTGGTGGCCTGTTAGAAACAGCCACATAGTGGGCAAGCCAGCATTACCAACTGAGCCCCGCCTTCCATCAGATCAGTGGTGGCATTAGATTCTCATAGGAGTGCAAACCCTATTGTTAACTGTGCATGCAAGAGATCTAGGTTGCATGTTCCTTATGAGAACCTAGCTAATGCTTGTTGATCTGAGGTGGAACAGTTTCACAGTTTCGTCCCCAAATCATACCCACATTCCCCAACTAACTGTGGAAAAATTGTCTTCCATAAAACTGGTCCCTGGTGCCAAAAGGGTTGGGACTGCTGCCAGATACACTCTGCTCCCACACATGCATAGCCTCCCCCATTAGCAACATTTCCCACCAAAGTGGTACATTTGCTATAATTTATGAACTTACATTGGCACATCATTATCACCCAAAGTCCATAGTTTACAGTAAGTCTCACTCTTGGTGTTGTACGTTCTGTGGATTTGGGCAAATGCATAATGACATTTTTCACCATTGTGATATTAAATAAAGTAGTTTTACTGCCCTAAAAATCCTCTGTGCTCACATTTTCATGATCATCACTGGTTCCGATTCCCTGTGCTTACTGATTCCTAGTCTGCATTTTAAATCATTTTCTCCTTGAACTTTCTTCACCTCCTCCCCAAAGTAAGCATGCATAAACATCTGTTGCATATGAAATACCTTGAGGGAATATATCTCCTCTTAGAAAGTTGAAAAGCAAAGTCAAATATTACAATTTCTCGTCCTAAGAGTTCCCTTAGCAATCGATCTCAGCCTCTCTCATTCTGGAGAAAAAAATACCCTCCAATGATCATATGAAAAGAAATTCACCCATAGCTCTACATTTGTATCTCCTAAATTATTAAGGGGCTGAGAAAAACAAAAGTACTTATCATATAATATGATCCATTCTTTTAAATAAATTAATTATAAATATAACCACAATGTTTTCTTATGTATTTATGTACTATGTGTAAGGAGTTGACTATATACCAAGATTATTCAAATTCCATCAATAACTCTGCAAGGAAAGTATTATTACTCTTCCATTGTGGATGAGAAAAATAAGGCCAGAAATGTTACATACTTTACCCATTTATAAAGTTTAAAATACTAGCTTCAAAGTACTGAATCCTGGATTTGGATTCAGGGTTCTTTGCACCAAACTATACTGTATCAATTATTGTGTTAATGTTTTGGTTTTTTTTCTCCAATTAAAATTTAAACTCACTGATGCAGGTAGTTTGGATAGAAATATCCTCACAGATTTCACAGTTGTTTAGAGCCATGAGGTCACTGCTGACCCATTTCCTCTGCAAGAGTTTCTGCCAGGAAATGGCGAATCCAGTGGAGGACACAACACCCACAGCTGCTGCTACATTGTCTCAACTGTGTTGTTCCTCCTAGGGTTTCTCTCATAAGCTAGTGCTTTCCTTAGCTAGGAGGGGTGAGGGGAAAGGGCTGGGGATTTCTGAAGATATTGGCATTGTTTTTTATCAGCATGCTTTCTAGAAACATCCTGCAGCCATATCCACTATACTGTCTCCTTCATGCCAGGGTGGCACAGGGGAAGCTACGTGGTTATCTAGCAAAGCTTCATTCAGGAGGTGAGGCAGACTGCACCTCTATTCTAGGGCTCCTAGATATGTCTGCAGCTTCTACTCCCATCCCATTTCCCCATTGTCACTAACCCGATGTGAGGAATAAGTATTTGTTCCTTTTCAGACACCCACATTATTGTCTTATTCTAATGTTTTTCTGACTTCCATTTCTTTTCCTGACTAAAGAATTTTTATTCCCTCAAGATGAGGAGGGGAGAGGAAGGTTTCTACTGTCATCATTCTGCACAAATTTAAAGTTTTGAGAATAAATTTTACTTTTGATATTTTTGAGATTCAAAGTTCCTTTATCGTAACCTACTTCTCTGTCATACTTTCCAAAGCCATATTGACATTAGTACAAACTTATTTTTGATTTTAAAATTTTTGCTGTAACAATTCTGAGCCAAAGGCAGAGGATATCTATTAACTTCATTGTTGCCTGAATTGAAGGGTGGGTGGCAGTGCCAAGGGTGGGAACACAAGGAAGAAAGAAATATTAATGTCAGCTAAGAAATCAACATATTATCAGGCTATAATGTACTTGGTTGCTTCTGTGTTACTGGACATGACAAATGATCTGGGAAATGAGGTTAAATTGGCTTGAAACATAAGAGCCTACCAATTGTTAGCCATAGTTTCAGTCAACCCTGGATGAAAAATGGAAAAATTTGACATAGGTCTCATAAAGGGAATTTGTTGCTTCCATGGAGATTTTAGATGGAGGTTAATGAAGAATTAGGTAGCTGGGTGGCTTACCCCAGGCATATCTTAGTAGGTAACATTTGAGAAAAGAAAAAATCAGGAGGTCAGGGAAAAAATTCAAAGGAATTTATGAGCTCTGAGGGGATATAGCAATTTAAGTCCCACAGAAGAGGTGAGAGGAGAAACATTTGGAGGAAAAAGGAAATATGATAAATCTGGCCAGAAAATAGTGCTAGGTCATGTAGCAAGTCCATCTTCTGTTCCTGTAGATGGCGATGCACCTGAAACTGGACAGACATGAGATAGGTGGGTCTAGGCCGCTCCCATGTCATCATCATGTCACTTCCCAATTCCCCTATAACTTTCAACCACATTCATGTCCACAGCCTCCTCCCACTTTCCTTCCTCTCATACTGAGGCTTCAGCTCTAACAAGTCTCAGTGCTTACCTTCCCTTCCAGGATGGGATTCACAAGGGCCCTTGGTGTCTGGAGGCACCAACTGAACGCAGGCCTCGGATGATCAAGACGGTCCCCACCACAATGCCCACGAGGCCCACAGACAACCCCAGGGCGCAGACCACAGTCTCTGTGAGCTCTGACATGGGCGCTGGAATCTCAGGCTCTGTGAAAGTGAAGTTGTTGAGGTGAGAAAGCAGAGTGTGCGCATGTGCACGTGTGTCTGGGATGGGATGGGGTGGAGGGTTGGCTCTGCAAAGACTCAAGGCCCCAGGCTTAGGGAGGAGCGTGAAGTCTATCATTAGAAATCCATGAAGTGGCAGGCCTGCTCCCACCCTGTGGAGTGTACTTTCATTTTTAATACATCTCCACTTTTGTTGCTTTATTCTTTCAAGAAAAAGATAAAAGAGACTAATGAAGTGTGGAAAACAAGTTTTGGGTTATAAGAGTAAAAGGCAGGAATTTCTGAACTTGGCAGACAAGAAAGCATCAAAAAACGGTGAAACTCATACTTACCCCAGTGTTTCAGAAGAGGCTCGTCCAGGCCCCAGTGCTCCACCCTGCAGTCATAAATCTCATCAGCAGAAGGGAGGAAGGTGAGGTAACTGATCTTGAAGAAGGAATGATCACTCTTGGAGAGGAAGCTGGTCTCAGAAACCCCTTCTGTGACTGAGCGCCCATTGCTCAACCATGTGATGTTCACCACAGGAGGAAAGATGTTGTCCACAAGACAGATGAGGGTGTTGGGGTGACCCAGCATCACGGGAGACTTGGAAAACACTGTGACCTCAGGAACCTCTGTGGTGAGGAAACAGCACTGATGTGAAGTGTGAGTAGCTCTGCCCTGAGCTTCTGCATTACATCCTGGAAGAGCCCTCTTACCAGCATTTCCTCTCCTGCTGGTCAAAGAGGTCTTATGTACCTTCTCTTGGGAGCAACAACACTTTGCCTCTGCTTTATTCTGTGCGTCCTTCTCTCTGTGGGCATGTTTAATAAAGTAGGAGGTTGATGAGACCTCTCCTAGAAGGATTTAATGAATGGATAATGGAAAGACCCTTGTATTCCATGGGAATATGTGATTTTAGAGATGGGAGATGATAAAACTTCAGCAATTGCCATGAGAAGATCTGGGGACCTCTTGGAAAGAAAATAATGAAACTTGGTATGAAGGGATAGATTGAGTAAAAAGAGGCAGAATGGTGGACACATACCATTGGTAGCAGCGGTAGAGTTGGAGTGTTTAATCAGGATGTTCAAGTTGTGTTTTCCCACAGCCAAGTTTCTCAGTGCACCCTGCGGGTCAAAACCTCCAAATTTGCTGAACAGAGGCAACCGCCAGACAGTCTCCTTCCTCTCCAGGTCCACGTAGAACTGCTCGTCTCCATCAAATTCGTGGGTGTACTGGCCAGAGAGACCGTAAGTCTGGTACAAGTTTACACCGTAAGAGGCAACGTGGTCAGCTGATGAGTGAAGATGACAAGCAGGAAGGCGGAGAACAGGGGAAGAAAGAACCTTAATACACAAAATGATGGAAGAAACTGACATTCAAATATTAAGGGCTTCCTCTTTGGCACAGTCTGTGGATATTTCCAGCCCCTGCTTCCTCCCCTCTTCGTGTTGGTAGTTGTCCAGTTAAAAGTGCGCTTTCTTTCCCACTCTAGTGTGCGCTACACAAGGGCAGAATATTGCATGTCCAATTTTTACTATTTCCTGAGTGCCTGGCACATCATGGACTTGTTATTAAATAATGTAAATGAACAAAAGAAGGAATGAATTAGTTATCATAGTATTTAGCTTTCTTAGTCATAGATTAGGTTTACTTCTCTCTGCTTCCTAAGATTTATCTTTCACTTAATTCTTTCATGAGTTAATAACAAATTGAGTATACTTCCTTTCCTCTCAGGACTGGCTCAGAACAGGACACTCTACACAGAGATCTTTCTTTTTTTTAAAAAAGGAAGTGCATGCAGGATCTTATTAATTTAAAATAATTTCTGCTAACAATTGTAGGTTATAAGAAAGAGTGTAATAAGAGTGGTAATAACATTACTGTTAAAATATATAACAAAAACATATAATATATAACAATAAATATATAAGAAATAAACAATGCTTCCTTCTAAGGTCTCTGTTTTGTTAATAGTAATGATCCTTGGAGGAGAGCAACTGATTTCTTCTGAAATGAAAAGTGGAAGCTCTACTAGGTTTTGGATTTCTGTCATTCCCCCCACCTTTTCCCACCTTTTTTTTCCTTTGAAGGAGGTTACTAAATGTCTACAGCATTCTGACTCAACATTTATATTCACTTGAGGACTCAGGTAAATTAAACCCTTTTTCCTCTAATGGGCAGTGTGCTTGTCTGAGGATGCCAGAGCAGAATGGCAGCCATGCAGTACAACTCCAGCCAAATGAGCCGAACTGGACATGCTTGTCAAGACACGTGTAAGCCTTTTACCATCGTATCCTTCCTTCCTTCCCCACTTTCTGAGCATCCACAAGTGTCAGACATAGCAGGGGATGTGTAAAACACCAATCAGGCATGGTCTACTATTAAGGAACAAACTGAATAGTGGGAGAGTCAGGTAGGTAAGGGAGCAGATTACAATGTACTGTAGTAAGTTCTGTGAGGAGGATATCGACAGCCTTACAGTCCAACGTCCTTCACAAGTATCTGCCAAGCAAACCAAACTACATTATCCTTTCATGCTCCCTGGTCTTTGCAGTGGTCTGTTGTTTTTCTCCCTGAAATGAAATTATCTTTTAGGACTTCCTGGAGAAATCCAAAAATCCATCCTTGAGGTTTCTGCTTAAGTTAACAACTTTGTAGCTAAGGCCTCTCATCAACATGTTTTTGACCACGTTATGACCTCCAACTCCTCCATCTCAACATCTGGCCGTCCAAGTTTGTCTGTTCCTCTTCCAGCTCACTTTCTTCCCTATCCAGTATAACTGCCCCGGATGGTCTTAACAGAGCCTCCAACAAAACCTTCTTATCCTTGCAATAAACTTTGACTTTTTGTTCAAACATAAATATATATGGAATATATGCAATCCTTCTTTTCATCTGGTCACCCTGCTGGCCCAGTTGGAACCAAGTCACTTGTATAGTTTCGGCCTCTGCTGAGTCCACTGCCTGCTCAGCAATGGCCTTCTGCTGTCTTTCACCCCATACAGTTTCCATCACTAGTCTGAGCACACTTTGCAGGGGAGGCAGCATGACTTTCCATCTTTGAATCCTTAAAACTTAGCTCACTGTGTGCTCAAACATGTGTATTGAATGACAGTTGCTGTATTGGAGGACCACATAGATTTTGGGGAAGATGGACAGGCACACAGGTAGCAGAACCATAGGAAGGCCAGGATCAACCAATGACCAGGGCTGCATTCTGACTTGTGATCCCCAAGCACTCTTGCTTGTATGGGCCCCTTATTCCATAAAAATATGGAAAATTATGTTTTATGACTGATTTGGTATAAAGGCAATATAATCTAGGCTGAATTAAAAGTTAAAACATTTTCTTAGGCTCCAAAACTTCATTTTTTTTCTAATTTTAAAAGGAGTTGAAACATTCTCATGTGGCTTTACAGTATGGAGGCTCCCCTGCACTGTCCACATTGTGCCTAATGGATGAGCCGAGCCTGACCAGCGCATTCTGGTGTGAGATTGAAGAAAGGAAATTTGGAACAAAGAAGTCAAGTGCTCTGGAGAAGCCGGTGAAACTTCCACTGCCAAACAAAATCAGAATGGGAGCAGCCACAGTTAATAAAGTTGTGGAAGTTTAGCGTATCTTCCATTTCACTTCCCCTTTAACTATCTGACTTTTCAACTTTTGTTTTACAAACCCGCTGTCCATCTCTATAAAGGAGCAGGGAGCCAGAGATGGATCCTGAAAAGGAAGAGGGAAAGAGATGGACAACAAAGACAGAGGAGACTAATAATTATAAGGGACCAAATAATTGGTCTCTTATAAAAAGGAACTGTGCTTCCTTCCTTCCTTTTTCTTTCTTTTTTCCATCCTTCCTTCCCTTTCCCCTCCCTCCCTCCCTCCCTCCCTCCCTTCCTTCCTTCCTTCCTTCCTTCTTTCCTTTCTTCCTTCCTTCCTCTCTTTCTTTCCTCTTTCTTTCCTCTTTCTTTTTGTGACAGGGTCTCTCTCTGTTGCCCTGGCTGGAGTGTAGTGGTGCCGTCATGGCTCACTGCAGCTTCTACCTCCTGGACTCAAGTGGTCCTCCCACTGCAGCCTTCTGAGTAGCTGGCACCACAGGCACGCACCACCATGCCTGGTTAATTTTTATTTTCCTTTTTTGTAGAGATGAGGTCTTGCTATATTGCCCAGGCTAGTCTCAAACTCCTGGGCTCAAATGATCCTCCTGCCTCGGCCTCTCAAAGTGGTGGGATTACAGGCATGAGCCACCATGTCTGGACCACTTTTCTTTTTATAGGACTTCATTAGATGAGGTGAAGAACAGGTAATTTGGGTTGATAATTTGATAATAAACTGATTTAATTTACCAAGTTTTTCTGCTATAAATGCTCAATTTTAAAATAAAAGGATTCCTTATTTTGCTAAAGAAAAGAAATGTGAAGTTACACCTGTGATAGAAATATGGAAAAAATTGACATTCATGTTTTCACTATTTATAAAGCTTAGCTACATGCCCATTTTATTTGATTATTTGTGAGGTAACACATATGAGGCAGCTGAGAGTAAGTGAGGACCATGTGATAAAATGATTGTTGAAGGCATTCAGCCTGCTGGACTCCTTTACCCATTCCCCACCTGTGCCAGTTCCCATGTGGAAATGTAAGTCTGAGAGAAAGAAAAGGGCATTTTTCTTAATATCTATACAGTATATAATTGATGGAACTATTTACCCCAAGGTCAACTACAGGAGACATACGAAAAGCTTCAAAAGTTGTTCAGAGAAATTTGAGAGTGACACTTCACACATTTTTAATAATAAAAAATTCTCCACCAATGGAAATCTCACTCATTTTTGAGGAAATCATGATGGAATGACATAGAGACCTCCAGGCTGTAGTCACTGAATAGAATATAAACAGAATAGCGTCCTTAGTGAACGTCAACAGCATAGATAACAAAAAAAGTAGGTTGGGGCTCTGGTTTCCTGAAGGAGGAACAGCCATAATTTTTAAATCTCTTAATACTGAAAGGGCCCTTAGGAAATCTGTAGTTTCTTTGCAAATTGTTTTCTCTCTTTTCCTTCGATTTCCTGTCTTCCAGCTCCAGAGAACATCTCTCACTCATGCACTCACCCACTATGTCTTCACCTCCACAGGGGCTCATCACGGTGGTCAGAGCGAGGGCCCCCAGCAACAGAGCTTTGTTTAGGATCATCCTCTTCCCAAGGCAGCCTCAGCAGTTGCCGTTCTGAGCTCTAGAGCAATTGTGAGGACCTCGAGACAAGGAAATCTAAAGATACCCAAACCAAACCCTGCCAGGTCAAGTTTTGGCCAATCAGAAAAATCTCCTCTGATGACACCTCAATTACTAGTTGAAGAGTTTGTATTAAGAGCCCTGGGAGGAGACAGGGCAATCCCCTGGTTGTGATGCAGCCTCTATTCAGAGTGGACTTGAGGAAATGTTCTATGAATAGAGGGAGAACACTAAATTGGAATCTTCTCTTGTGTGTGCATGTCTGCCAGTGGCAAGAGGGGTGGGCATTTATTTCTTTTATTTATTCTTATTTTTATTTTTTTTGAGACGTAGTCTCACTCTGTCACCCAGGCTGAGGTGCAATGGCATGGTCTAGGCTCACTGCAACCTCTGTCTCCCAGGTTCAAGCGATTCTCCTGCCTCACACTCCCAAGTAGCTGGGATTACAGGCACCTGCCACCATGCCCAGCTAATTTTTGTATTTTTAGTAGAGATGAAGTTTCACTATGTTGGCCAGGCTGGTCTCGAACTCCTGACCTCGTGATCTGCCTGTCTCAGCCTCCCAAAGTGTTAGAATTACAGGCAGGAGCCACCATGCCTTGGCCAGGGGTGGGCATTTCTTTTTTTTTTTTTTTTGGAGACGGAGTCTCGCTCTGTCGCCCAGGCGGGTTGGGCATTTCTGAGCAGCCTCATGGATAGATGAGGTCATCAATTAAATGGCATCTTTCACGATTTTCTGGGTTACAACCTCCAGGAATTTTTCCCTGAGTCGATTTCCCTCCCTGGCAGTTCCCATCCCCTCCCCTTTCTCTGGCTTCTGTATGTGGGTTAGCTGTTTTTCTTTTTGCTTCCATAGTGCATATGGAATTCTCCAAATGTTAAGTTGACCCACCTACCTAGCGATCTCTACTGGTGGTAGCTGAGAAATACCTTTGCTTTTTCTACTTGTATAAATCCAGTTTGGCAGGTTCTTCTCAAGCTCTCAAAAGATCCAGGTGGTTTTCGCCAGGGCAATAAAAAGAGGTTATAATGTCAGATGGTGTTGTCTATAGTAACTGTAGGATATTTTATACAGTTTTTCTTTGCGTTGAGTAATGTTTACATTCTGTGTTTTGGTGCTTCTTGAATATATTTAAAGGAAATTTAGGGACACTGATTATATTTAAAATTTGGCAGGCTCAATTACTCTAAGAATTGTTTAAAAAAATTAAGAATGTCAAGTCAAAACTTGAGGGTAGAATAAGGAGAATTGTACCGACTTAGAAAAATGGTTTTCTTTTCTTAAACTACCAGATCTTTTAAAATTTGTTATCCTACCATATTAAAATTCCAGATATTTGCAAGGGACTAGGGATTGAGCTAAAGTTAGTCGTTAGAGGGAAACTTGTTATTTTTTTTCAGATGCATCTATTTTCTGTACGTAATAGAAAACATGAGTTAATGGAACTTCTATTTAGCATCACTCTGTCCTTGCTAAATGGCCTTTTGAGATTCTCAGCAGTATGCTTTACCTCCCACTGGCAGAAACTATGAAAAAAAAAAAAAAGGTGAAACAAAAAAAGTGTCCTGACACCTGAGAGCTGCCGGGATGCGATTAACAAGGCCTCGGGGTTGCTAGGAGCTAGCCTGGCACTCCCAGGTGGTTTTGGTTCTCCTGTTGAAGATAAAGGATTTCATAGGACATCAGAAGCAGGCAGGTACTTTGTGAGCACAGTGAATTGAGACAGAACACCAGAATGCTCAGTCATCACATCTGAACCCAGACAAAACATGAATATTGTCCAAACCACAAAAATGACCAGGTACATATCTCTCGGGAGTGATTGCTGCTTCTTTACCAATCACATCTGTGGCCTCAGGATGGTCTTCCGTCCCTCTAGGTAGGATTTATGAAGCTACCCAATCATAGCATTGCCACCCCAACCCTCCACTTTCTGTCAGAATTCAATTAAAAGCAAAAATCCCTCTTTCTTAAATCCTCCCCAAAATCACCTAAAACAAGCACAAACCTTACAATTGACTAATGGTCAATTTCATGTGTCAGCTAGACTCTGATCCCCAGTTATCAGATCAAACACTAATAATCTAGATGTTGCTGTGAAGATATTTTGTAGATGTCACTGAAGTTCATAATCAGTTGACTTTAAGAATTTATCCTAGAAAAACTGGGTGAGCTTAATCTAAGCTGTTGAAAATCCTTAAGAGCAGAGCTGAGGTTTCTCTGAGGAAACAGAAATTCCACTCTGGACAGCGTGTCAGCCTGAGCTGAGAGTTCCAGCCTGCCCTTCCTGACAACTACCTCCCAGTGGATCTCTGACTTGCTTAGCCCACCACTGCGGATGCAAAAATTAATTCCTTGCATCATTCTCTTAATATATGTATTCTCCTGGTTCTACTTCTTTGGTTCCAACAATCTCTTACTGAGGGGCTGCACGATTCTCATGTTGAGTTTTATCCATCATTGCAATGAACAATAAAGCTGACTCATTTATTGAAAGGTATGCTACTGCTGGTCTTTGGCTGGAGGCATTGAGGTACCTCATTAGGCAGTTGTGAGGAATATACATATACTGTACCTGGAGTAAAAAGTTCCTAGGACTCTTTACATATATATACTTGTCATATTTTAATATCATCCTCATTTTCCAAGGAGGACATTAAAGCCCAGAGAGTTGAAGGACTTTTTCCAGGGTCACACAGCTGGTAAGTAGTAAAGATGAGATGCCATGGGGCAAGCCATGGATCCTTGTGAGGAATGATAGGCGAGTGTCTCCTTCTGTGTGAATTCAGAATCCAGTGCCTTGACATGGTTAGGAGAGGTATTTGACCCTATAGGTGGCTTTATTCTTTCTACTCCTGCCATTGTGAATGAAGAGGGTTTTTGAGGTCCCATTTGAGATGTTCTCCCTTTACCACTCAATATCCTTCTTGCTGTGTAGCAAATAACACATTTTTATCTTTTTTCCTGTATCCAGACTTACCTGCTATGTATCTCATGGAAATTCCTTAGGATTTTGGCAAATGAACAAAATGTTTTGCAATGGTACTCCAGAATTTCACCTATTAACATTACAGTTTAAATATCTTAGCTCCAGTTAAGAAGTTAGGGTGTTAAACGTGGGATTAGAATTGTATCTTGGATAGGAAGTTGAGGGTGCTGTTTCAGATCTCACATCCTGTGAGGTAAAGGGAAAGTCCAAGCAAGGCAAAGTCATTGAAGAGATAATAGGTGCCCTTTCTATCTTTAACCTAGTTTTGTCTCTCTCCTCTTCCTGCTTCATCCAGCCATAACACAGTGAACCTTGTTCCAGCTGCTTCTGTCTTCAGGTCATAATTTTAATGTAAGGTAAAATAATAAGTAAATGAAACTCAGAAGAACAGTATACCATTTTAACAAAAACTAATTTGTTATCTTTGTGTAGTAGAAAGAGAAAAGGCCCTCTTTATAGATTAATAGTGGGAACAAAATTTGGAGTTCAAAATAGTACTTTGTCCAATAATTTTCTTAGAAAGCACTTATTGACATGCCATTGATTCCATAACCAAATAGCAATAGGATGTGTTGGAACCGAACTGTCGATTCCCTCCTGGGTAGGGGTCGCCGCAAAGGATCACCGACACGAGGTTCACGGCAGAGAGTTATTTATTACTAGTGCGCTAGGGTCCCAAGCTCTAAGTTGGCCCTGGGACCCCGAGTGCTTGTTACAGGCAGTTTATATAGGCAAATACAAGTTCAAACACAGCTTGGGGCGCGAAATTCAAACAAGGCTTTAGGCGCGTGATGATTGGGTCTAGCTATGGCCTGAGCAAGGTATCTTGTTCTGATTGGTTGGGGCGGGACCTTAGGAGGTTCTTTCCTGGAATTGCTGATTCCGGGAACATCGGGGACATTGAGTCAGGGTGGGACCCCATGAGGTTATCAGGGTGGGACCCCATGAGGCTATTTCCCGGAATTGTCTTTCTGTTTGAGTTCTGGGAACATCGGGGGGCTATCCGTGGCCATCTGGGGTTTAAGTTTTATGATGGCCAAACTTTCTATATTTTATGAGGCTTAGGAATTATGAGGCCTAGTTTCAGATGTGCCATTATAGTTGACATCATTAAGAGCCCTCTAAGAAATTAGGTAGAATTTATGTTAGTTCTAATAAACAGTTATAACATTCTCTAAGACTCTGTATATTTTAAAATTGTTTTAGTCTGACTTTATGCACTGGTGAAGTTTTACTCTGAAGGCCAAGACTTCTATCTTGCAGTAGTTAAAGGTGCTTCACAACAATAACAGAATCTAGTGTAGCGAAGTCAAAAGAATATAGATTTTGTAATAAGATAAATATGTATTCCATGCTGCTTTTGATTTTATCAGCTGCAGCACCTTGGGCAAGTCACTCAAAATACCTGAGCCTTAAGGTTATTTTCTATAAAACAGAAGGAAAATTATTAGATGACAGTTAATATGGTAAAATGAAATGATAGATAAGTACAATTATAAAGTTAAATACAAACCAGTGTCTGACACATAGCAACTATTCCCGAGTGGTAGCTGCTACATAAAGACAAATATTAATAATGATAATGATAATAACATCATGCTTTGGGCTGGGAAAGCCTATCAATTTTTCCTCATTCATTTAACCTTCTCCCTGTAGCACTCCAGGCATGTGGGAGCCTGTGAGCCACAGAAGCACTCAGACGTTGCTGAAAAACGAAATTTTTTTGAAGACCGTTGTATCTGTCAGATTTTTCTATGTAACAAAGTACTCCAAAACTTAATGACTTCAAATAATGGTTTAGTATCTCCTCATGATTGAAGGGGAGGCCTGCCCCTCCACACCTGTGGGTGTTTCTCGTTAGGTGGAATGAGAGACTTGAGAAAAGAAATGAGACACAGAGACAAAGTATAGAGAAAGAAAAGCGGGGGCCCAGGGGACCGGCGCTCAGCTTACAGAGGACCCATGCCAGCACTGGTCTCTGAGTTCCCTTAGTATTTATTGATCATTATCTTTACCATCTTAAAGATAAGGGAGTGGCAGGACAATAGGATCGTTTTAGGGAGGAAATCAGCAGTAAGACATAAGAACAAAAATCTCTGTGACATGAATAAGTTTAAAGGAAAATACTGTGCCTTGAGATGCATATGCAAACATCTTCATAAACCTTTTAGCAGCATTGTTTCAGCCTATCACATGGGGAGAAACCTTGGACAATACCTAGCTTTCCTAGGCAGAGGTCCCTGCGACCTTT